AAATCACAGGTTTCAGGGCAGTTGTTGCGTCGGCCTCGATATTGACGTAATAAAACAGCGGTGTGCAAAACTTTGGGAACCCCTATTTCTGCCAAAGAAGGACGTACAAAATTCTGCGTGGATATTTCTTTTCTGGGGCCTACATTTATGCACATGTCTAATTTGGTTTAAATGATTCTTGCCGTCTTTCTGTGAATGATACAACCTTAATTTCAATTCTCAAATATTTGTTACCGTTATGATTGATCTGAAATGTCTTATCCAAACAGTTGGACGAGTGTGTGTTTGTGTGTGCGACTGTGGAACAGCGGGCAAAAACAGAATCTGGTGTATTCACAAATCCTACTGTATTAATACACATTGTTCCATCCAAAGAAAAAAGACAATTAAATGGTGTCTGAGATGACTATAAACTGGCAGATAACATTTTGCTTCATTTTCATCATGGCCTGGTATGATAGGGGCCCGTGTATAGTATTTTCATCAGTGTTGTGCCAGTTCACAGCTTTTCTGAACTAGTTCAAGTTCAGTTCATACATGCTCAAAGTGAACAGTTCACGTTCAAAGTTCACATTTTTAATTCTGAACTAGTTCAAAGTTCAGTTCATTTTACTGTTTTTGTGAGATATTCAAATAAATATTTTTTTCACACTACCAGCTAGAAATCACATTATATATATAAGTATATATCCTGTACACCGCACAGGATGAGAACCTTACTCTAAAACAGACAAGATCTAATTGGGAGGAAAAAACTGAGTTGCCACTGCTCATAAGTGCTACAAACAGTAATGCGCTGCAGTGCGTGTGTCTATACTTTATGTCAAATGTAAACGGGTGGTCCTGTGTAGCTGACTCACCCTTTGTTATCATCACAACTCGGGCACATGTGAGTCCAACAACCAAAGAAAAGCACTTGCTCACAGCGCCGCACCGGCTGGCTCAACACGGAGTTGGGGTGCGTTCACAGACGGTGAACACCGTAGGAATTTTTAGTTTTCGGCGGAAAAAGTGCGAGAATACAAGAGGGAGGAACTTTCTCTCGTTGTGTTTCAAAAGAGAAAACAAATTCCAACGTTCATAGTGATGTCTGCCGTTCATGACACATAAAATGAACTAATTCACGTTCAAGTTCTTTATTAAAAAATGTGTTGCGTTCAGTTCAACGTTCACAAAAAAATGAGCGTGTTCAATGAACGCGTTCTTTTGAACTCGTTCACGCACGACACTGATTTTCATTTTTAATTACAAATATGTCTTTTGTATTTAGTGTTCCCAGATAAGAGGTATGTACAAATCATATTTGGCCTTTTCTGTAAAAAAAGATAAACTGAGAAATTGAAATGGATTATGCCCATAATATTTATGCTAATGACTTTCAAGTAGATGATTCAATCTGTTTTTAATTAATAACACTATTTTTAAAGAAACTATTATTATTGTTATTATTATTTGTATCATTATTAGTATTATCTATTATTATCATTATTAGTAGTAGCATTAGTATTATTATTATTATTCAGGTGACTAGCTCTCAACGTTGCCACCTTTTCAAGTGTTATAGTATTTATGCTGACTTTAACATGTTGTTTGTAGCTCAGTATGGTCTTAATTAAACATAATTGACTTTGTTAAATGCATGCAGCTCGCTCCTGTAGCGTCTGCTCTGCGCTCCTCGTAATCACAGCTGGAGAAGTGAAACTGTTGGAATATTCTTCAATATTTTGCACACACTGAATACATTAAGGCAGCGCTGCATATTCATTAAGCCCAATTTCAAACGCTGCAGAAACCAGTCCGACTTTAACCTGAACCTCTCTAATCTGACTTCAAATATGTGTGTGTGTGTGTGTGTGTGTGTGTGTGTAGAAACATGTGTGTGTGTGTGTGTGTGTACAGGCCTAAGCCACAGTCACGTGTGCAGAGCATTCAGGCCCATGTATTTTACATGCTGTATTAAAACATGTGCAGGAGGTATTTATAGAAGCAGAGACTGAGATGGTTTTCTCTTTGGTCCAATCGACAGAAACAGTGGTTCTGGAATGAGCTGAGTTAGAACTGAGTAAAGCTGGATACTGACTAAAGTTTTATTATTTTGAGATTTAAAGTCGTGACACACAGTCGTGAGACCACAGGCATGAAGACGATCTGAAAAAATAAACGTCTCAGTCGCAGACACCACACTCTTCACTCACGTTTTCAAGGAAAATTAGATGGTTGCATCCAAATTCAACAACCATCCTCCCTATCCTTCCTCTTCTTCTAAAAACATGAAATATTAATGCTTTAGGCACCAGAGTTTTCCAGAAATGTGATGTGAAACAGACAGAAGATCGAGCACTACTGAAATTAATAACAGAAACAAAACAAAACAAAAAACATGTAGGGGCCAATTTTACAGCCAGGTCTTTGTATAGAAAGTGTCTGGCTTCACCTGTGCTGCAGACGAGACACACCTGTTGGATCTTTCATTCAATATCAATTCAATTCATTTGTGTACAGTCCTAAACCAGAACAGAAGTCATCTCAGAGGAGGTTGTTGATTTGCTATTTTTCAGGAGAGTCCTGGCCCCTGAGAGATGTTTATAGTGATAGGGGAAACCGGAGCACCCGGAGGAAACTTATGCATACGAACATGCAAACTTCACTCTGAAAGGTCCGATCTGAACTCAGGATCTTGTGTCTGACCACTTGCCAGCCACCGTGTCAATGTATTTTATGTACTCTAACTAAATACAGCTTTTATTTGCCCATGAGTAATACAGAGAATGATGAATACAACCAGTAGAAAAGTGTGTTGCCAAAGTGTGTTGCCAAAGTGTGTTGCCATGGTTAACACAGGTCATGTCTTGCACTTGAATAGAAATATCACATCAACATTTTGATATTTTGTCACATTATGTTGCCTTTCCAGATTTCCCATGTGTTTAAACACATCAGTCTGAGTGATGTTGTATTCATTATTCATTAGTTCCTTCACATTTACGCTGGATCTGTTTCTTTTCGTACTTTCAGAGAGAGATGGGATCGCTTTCCATCAATATGTTTTGTGATTTTTCCATATTCTGGTAAATGCAATGATGTAATGAATAAATATAGAAAACACATAAATAAATAAACAAATGCATACATTCAAAACTATATGAATACAACATTGAATCAATACATACGTAAATACATACAAACATATATACATTTAAAAATAATAATAACTAATACATATTTGTATCTCACTAAAAGTAACATTGAATTAATAAGACAGACTTTTTTTCGTCCCACTATGGGGAGATTTTGCACAGGACCAACTATTATTTAAGATAAAAGATAATATAATTAAATAAAATACTAAAGTAATAAGATAAAAAATAAAATAAAGTAAAGCAGGTAAGGTGACAATGAATGTATCGTGAGCCTATCCCTGTGTGGGACGGCCCGGCTGCGCCCTGCCCGGTTCACATGCGCTCTCATGCTGCCGGCTAATGCTCTATAATCCCGGCTGTCACAGATATGGGATATTGGTGTGGATTGAAAAATCAAACCGCTGGTGTTTTGCTGGGTTAAAAGGATCGCTGAGCTTAAGAGGAATTAGATATGTTCCCTATTTTGTGTGAAAGAGACTCGCTAATGCTCTCTTAGATCACTTTTTAAGGATATCGGCTCTGATCTGTCGGGGCGAGAGTGGTCTGATAAACACGAGGGAGAAAGAGAAATAACAAATGAGCGAAAGAGCTGATAAGATGAACGAGTACAAAGTATAGTTGACACGACAGGTCTGATAAACACTGATCCATGATTTATGTATTTTGAGTAGTGATGGCATTCAAAGAAATAATTTTCCATTTCAATTTGACTTTTCACAATAAGAAAAAAAGACTGTATTTTTAAAAATCCTTTAAAAACCACAAACTATTCAGTGTAGCATACATGTACATACAAGAGAGGTCTGCATGTATACCAGGCATGTCCAAACTCAGGCTCGGGGGCCAAGTGCGGCCCTCAGTGTCATTGTATGTGGCCCTCTGCCTTGCTAACCCAAAGTAGTCTCATAGATCCTAAACACAAGTTAACTGTGTCATCCATCCAACTTAAGCTCAGCCAATATAGACCTCTTTCTAAAGCCCAGTACGTCTGGATTTCAGTCGTTGGCTATATTTTGCACATACTGTACTTACGTGGTCTTTGATTGTGCTGTTCAGTTGGTAAACATTTGTCATTCAGCCAACTTCAACTCTGTTATGGGTCATTTTGAAGCTCAGAAGAGCCCGATACCAGTCATGATAGTTTTTCAGTCTGTGACGTTGGCCCCTGGACTGGTCTGGTGAAGTAAAGTGGCCCTCTTACTAAAATGTTTGGACACCCCTGATGTATACTGAGACAACAGTAGTCTGCATGTTTACTGTACAGTATATCTAGTGATCTGTAGCATGGTTTAAACTCTCCTCAAATGTACAAGCGATAGAAAAATGGTATTTCCTGTCTTGTAAAACTTGTGCAATCTATTTTTAACTGGCTTATTTACACACACTGTCAAAATTATTGTAAACGCAATAAACAAAGTCCATATTAAATATAGCAGCACAAGCCTAACCATTAAACATACCCATATGTTCAAATTACCAACACAAACATGTTTCAGAATAACCCACAACAATTAATAACAGCCGTCGGCCGCTCAGACCTCTTCGCCATATGTTTTCCACTTCCATAAATCTAAAAACGGAGCCTTTTCCAAACTCACTTTCGACTCAATCATTTACTAGGGGCTCCTCCCTCCTCTAATGAGCACCGTCTATGGAAAATCTACTCCAGAATATATACAGTGCGTTCAATATTTCCCGGCATTAGCTTGACACGTCCTCCTAATAAACGACTTTTCGCTGACACCTCGGATATTGCTGCTAATAATACGACTGCCAGCTCGTGTGTGTTTGTTATTGTAAGCCTGTGTGGGCCTTGGCTGACTTAAATATACTTTATATATATATACAGAGGAGCCTTACCTGGTTCGGTGTCCGGAACTCGTGGTTATTGTCATTCATGTACATGTTGTCACCATCAAACTGCAAACACACAACAAACACAAATAGAAAAAAATGAGCGCACAGTGAGGCGAAGTGTGAGACTAATGATTTTGTCACTTTGGTTACACGCCTGGCGGTGTGGCACGGCGGCAGGGTAATTACAGTTCGTCAGTGGGCTGGTAATTAGGTGATACATGGCTGAAAGACGGGCTTCCCCTGTGGGCTCAGAGCGAACACATCCAGCCTCAGAGCGGAGGTTTAATCAGGCGCAGAACACCGACCGAAACACAGGCTCCAGGATGACCACACGACCGACAGCTCCGGCTCAGTGTTTGTTATGGAGGAGCCACTCAAAGTTGGCTTTTGGATGTTGGATATTTATTGGTATATTTCCATTCGCTGTCTCACACAGTCACACACACACTCATTCACCCTGGACTAATGCACATGTTTTTAATGGTAGGGGAAACCGGAGCACCTAGAGATAACCAGAGCAGATAAAGGTGGAACATTTGTATCGTCATATGATCCAAAGCAACTGACCAATCAGGGGCCTCCTCTTCTAAAGCTGAATTTGACTTCGGCTATTGAATAGTGGGAGGGGGACCAGACCAGGCCGTCTCCAGATTCCCGCCCATGGAGCAAACACTTGGTTTGTGCACACCTACATTCTATGGTTTCATCTCTAGTTTTCACATGCATGTATTTTTTGCCTCTATCACATCTTTGGATCTTAATTTTCAGAAAGAAAAGTGACAAGTAAGATCACGCTCACTCGGCCAATCATGTCTCAGGCTCAAAAGCCACATAAGGCACAGTTTGCGAGAGATTACATCAGGCAGGTCTGATTTGTTCGAAACATTTTACTTTTATTTGATTCTGTTCAGACAAACTCAATTCATCAAAAGCTCTACTCTGTTTTCTTCAGCTTTATCCAGGGTTGAGTCAATGGCCCAACAGTCTTATCAGAGACAAGCAGAAGGCCAGCTGAGATAGAGTCTCTCCAGCGTCTCCTCTCGCTGGGACATACCCAGAACCCCACCGCAGTGAGGCGTCCAGGAGGCATCCCAAACAGATGCCCGAGCCACCTCAACTGGCTCCTCTCATCGTGGAGAAGCAGCTGGTCTATTCTGCGCTCCTTTGTGTCCCGTTTCAAAGCAGATTTTCATATCTCATCAGAGGGTGGAAACCGTTTGGATTTTTTACCAGAACATGGCAAAACTATAAACTTCTGCAAACCACGTCTGTGTCACGTTTTATGAATACAAAATATCACTACTTCATACATCTTACGCCACCACCGCGTCGTTTATAATGAGGTAAGCCACGTAAAAGACAGAAATATCCAGCCATAAAAAGCGATCATAAAAAGACCTAGTAATTCTTAGCATTTTCAGATTTTGGTCAGGCCCTGTAATAGCTTCAAACTCTATAAAGCCAGTCTATAGCCTCACATGTCAATTCAAGCTTTATATGGGTGATTTCTATGGAGAAAATGAGATTCGGCTGCACAAACCACTCGGTAACTGAACCTGTCCAGTGTCAAGGTGACTGAGGAGCGGAGAGGGCTGTATAATGAAACGCCCTTGGAATTGTGGAGAATCAGCTTTTGTCGAAGAGAACTTGCGGAGAGTACGGATAATAACGCTATTGAGAGAAGCACGTGGAAAAAAAAAAATTTCAACATGTCAAATAACGAGGAGAGTTTCTGTTTGAGGTCATTTGTGAGAAAGCGCAGAGACAGTAACATGATCAAACCGGACAGCATTCCAGCGCAGATTCCTCAGATATAAAGATACACGTGGCCTTTTTATGAGTGCGGAGCCGCGAGTGTGTTGTTATGAATGAGACAAAGAGGAGACGCAATATAGAGCTGTTTCGCTAAAACTTTAACTGATTGAAATTGACTCAATGCTAAAGTGACTACCGTAACTTCTGGACTATAATAAGCCGCAACGGTTTTCTAGTTCTTTCAACCCTGTGGCTTATACATCAATGCGGCTAATATGTGTTTTTTTGTTGTGGTAGAGTTGTCAGAGCAGAGTTTATGGACTTATTATTTTGACTCCATCCAGTTTTAGTAGCTATAAGACACTTGTTTATTACCAAAATACTGAAGACTGTTGAATGAGTGATAGAAGCTAACGGTTAAGCTGTTAAAAATCATGTTGGGACCAGTTTAAAAACGTCGTCTATCTGAAAACCTGCGGCTTCTATTCCAGTGGGTCCTATATATGGACAAAATGTGCTTTCTTTTCAAATGTAGGTGGTGCTGCTTGTATATAGGTGCACCTTATGTATTTTAGGCTTTTAACCATGTTTATAACATTGTTCCTTATCAAAAACAGACTTTGTTTTGAGATTCTTCCACGCTGATATCAGAAAGTTCAGGCACAAACATTTAGTTCCGTTCCTTCAATCTACAAACTCCAGTCTCTCTCAGCTTCCAGGGGTTTTCGGAAACTCTATGTAATCTTGAGACTTCCCAAAATCTGAGCGTTCATGTACAGACACACACACACAAACACACACATGTACACACACACACTCACAGGGCGGCATGGTGGCGCAGTGGTAAGGGAGTGTGTTTCGCAACGAGAAGGTCTCCGCCTGGCCTTTCTGTGCGGAGTTTGCATATTCCTCCTGTATCTGCTCAGCTTTCCTCCAGGTGCTCCGGTTTGCTGGGTCTGGCATGGGCCTCCTACAGGTCTAATGACATTGTAACCCATCGACTTTCTTTCTCGTCTTTTAAAACTCTTCCTCTCTAAATTCGCCAGTCCCGGGTCACTCACCGGAAGCCGCAATAAGAGGTGACGGCTTCTCGCTTCTCCACAGATCCCGTTGATACCGTGGAATGATCAAGAGTACACCAAACAAATGAGCTTTCTCCAAACATTACTGCATGAGGTGAACTAATGGACGGAAATGGTTGGAAGTCCTCTGGGTGTAACAGAATCTGTCCAGTGCAAAAGTCCGAGTGGCTAAATGATGCTGAAAGAGAAACGACTGCACATGATCGAGGTAGAACGCCGGCCAGATAAGTGTTTTTTATTACATCAGCGATCTGAGCTGTTCTAATGATTACAAACTGGAGCGCACAACAAACATGTGTAACAACGTGTATTCAGCATTTACAACTGTCCATGTCCACATCTGTCCACAACTGCCCACAACTGTCCATGGGGTTTTTTCATCCGTTGTTTAAGGACTGTATGTATGTTTATCTACTAGGTGTGATTTTACTGCTTTTTTGTGACTTTACTGTGTCTTTGTGTTGTTAAGCATTTTGAGTTGCCTTGTGTAGGATCTGTGCAATACAAAAAAACGTACCTTGCCCCTAATCCATTTAATGTATTTAATTAAATTTCCTATTTTTGAAAAAAATAAAAAACAATGCCCCAAACGTATTGTGAGATTTCAAAACACTTTTAAGCAACTTTTGTTAAAGTTAAACTCATCATTCTATCAATGTGCAGAAGCCTGTACTTTTCCCTTGTTTTGTCTATCTGAAGGCCAAGCTACATGGCACCGTGGAAGCTGCTGATTGGAGGTCTCCATGCCTCCGCTCTGTATAATACACTTGCATTCTATTGTATCTGTGTTTGTGTGCTTTGTTCGTGCTGTCTCTACCATTGACAATAAAACATGTCTTCTGTCGGAATTTATGACACGATCCCAGACTTGGCTCATCTTCTTCAGGTGGTGGAAGGATGCGGGCCTTGTCTGTAACATCTAGAGAACAGAAGACTTTTTTTTTACACAAAAAGTGTTTTTTTTTAAGCCAAAACTGAAAAACCTCAAGAGAATGCGTCTGGACCAGCACATGGACAATCTGCACAGCCCCTGATTCCAGTCAGGCTGTGAGCTGCTGAGACATGGACAATACCATCGTCCTCTTTTGCATGGACACCATTTGGAAAAATTGGATTACACAATTTGGACATAATTTGGAACAATCTGGATTTCTGAATCTGGACACTAAAGCTGAAACGTGTGATTGAAAGACACGTCACAGAAGAATTCATGGTTCGACACAAATGCAGCCTGAAGAAATCAACACGGAGAAGTGGGAGAGACTGTTTTCAAAGCAATATCTGGAACCACCATCGACTGATGAAGTTGAGTGAGTTTTCTGAGTTTTTGAAGTATTCCGAGTTCTGAGTTTTTTGAGGTACCGAGTGAAGTACCGAGTTTATGAGTTTTTGAAGTATTGAGTTATGATATTATGTTGCTGTTTATCGATCCTGATGGTCACACGTGAATGTATGACCAGAGGGGGGAATGTGAGATTTCATAACACTTTTAAGCAACTTTTGTTAAAGTTAAACTCATCATTCTATCAATGTGCAGAAGCCAGTACTTTTCCCTTGTTTTGTCTATCTGAAGGCCAAGCTACATGGCACCGTGGCAGCTGCTGATTGGAGGTCTCCATGCCTCCGCTCTGTATAATACACTTGCATTCTGTTGTATCTGTGATCGTGTTCGTGCTGTCTCTACCATCGACAATAAAACATGTCTTCTGTCTGAATTTAAGACGCGATCCCAGACTATGTCATCTTCTTCAGTATGTGACAATGACAGTAAATTGAATCTTGATTAATTTATCCAACGTATATTAAATGTAGGGTGGTGTAACAAACCGGCCGTTCGTTACATAACCCACACTGCACTTTTGAACATGGCTAGATTGCACATATAAACCATTGCACATATATTCATGTAAGAAGGTTTATTGAGAGGGCTGTGGTTGTCCGTGGGTCCAGTGTGGTGTGTTCCGGGTAGGGTGCCGGTCCTGCGGAGGCAACATGTAATTAGAATTGGGCATAGTGCAATATGTGTAGCTTAAGAAGTGGTAATGTTTTAGTGTTTTGTGCATGCTGTGAATGGTCGGGTGTCTGGGTGCGTGAATGTGTGTGTGAGCGCAGTTTGTTTACCTTGTCTCTTGTGTCCAGGATAGCGTGTCTGACGAAAAGGGTCCGGGGGGGAACGGACGCCGCTAAAACCCGTTCCGGGCTGAACCAAGGGGCAGAATAGGCGGG